CTAAGTGGCTTGAGTCATGCAGCCGGCAACTGAAATTTCCACTTTTTCCCGTAAATGATGAGAAATAATGGAATGGTGTCAGAGATAAGACCCCCTGAGATCATTATCCCTCTTCCTGGAATGTTAAAAATAATCTTTCTTTGTCCGGCATGGTGGCTCACGCCTGTAATCCCAGCACTTTGGGAGGCCAAGGCAGGCAGATCACCTGAGGTCAGGGGTTTGAGACCAGCCTGGCCAACATAGTGAAACCCCAATTCTACTAAAAATACAAAAATTAGCCGGGCGTGGTGGCGGGTGCCTGTGGTCCCAGCTACTCGGGAAGCTGAGGCAGGAGAATCGCTTGAACCCAGGAGGCAGAGGCTGCAGTGAGCCGAGATCACGCCACTGCACTCCAGCCTGGGCGACAGAGCGAGACTCCGTCTCAAAAACAAATGAACAAAAAAACAAAACAAAACAGAAATCTTCCTTAAAATCTAGCTAGCTGCTACCAGTCGTATCACAGAACGTAGTGTACTGGCTTTGTATGGAACATGTTAAAGGCTGTTAAACTTCTCTGTTTCTGCCTGCATAAGTGAAACCTTTTCTTCACCACTTAAGAATGACCACATTCTTTCAGAGTCTGTGGCTGTCTCAAACTTTGTGCTTGAGTAAACTCTATTGTTTTGTTTTGGGGTTTTTTTAGAGACAGGATCTTACCCTGTGACCCAGGCTGGAGTACAGTGGCACAATCACAGCTCACTGTAGCCTCAAACTCCTGGGCTCAAGCATTCCTCCTGCCTCAGCCTCTCAATAGCTGGGATCACAGGTGCCACCATGCCCAGCTAATTTAAAAAAAAAATTTATAGAGATGGGAGTCTCATTATATTGCCCAGGCTGGTCTCAAACTCTTGGACTCAAGTGATCCTCCTGCCTCAGCCTCTCAAAGTGTTTAGATTACAAGTGTGAACCACCACGTCCAGTCTTAAACTCAATTCTTAATCACATTTTCTGCTTCTCATTGTTTAAGGCAGACATAGGTGTTATCTTCATTTCATAGATATACAACTTGAGGGTCAGAGAAGTTGAGTAACTTATCCAAGGCTGTTATCCAACAGCCTTGGTGGCACACTGGGATTCAAATATAAACAGCCCAGGCTCTTAACCGTTGGACAATTCTGTTTCTAAAAAGTCTTTGACTCTCATTTGTTTTTTTTTTTTTTTTTTTTTGAGACGGAGTCTTGCTCTGTCGCCCAGGCTGGAGTGCAGTGGCCGGATCTCAGCTCACTGCAAGCTCCGCCTCCCGGGTTTACGCCATTCTCCTGCCTCAGCCTCCCGAGTAGCTGGGACTACAGGCGCCCGCCATCTCGCCCGGCTATTTTTTTTGTATTTTTTAGTAGAGACGGGGTTTCACCGTGTTAGCCGGGATCGTCTCTCGGTCTCCTGACCTCGTGATCCGCCCGTCTCGGCCTCCCAAAGTGCTGGGATTACAGGCTTGAGCCACCGCGCCCGGCGACTCTCATTTGTTACCTTATTTGATTATTTGTTTCCCTGTCAATAACTTTTTTTATAGTTTTTATTGGGTTCTACTGTACAAACATAAGACAACACCGCACCTGTAATCCCAGCTACTTGGGCGGCTGAGGCAGAACTGCTTGAACCAGGAGGCGGAGGCTGCAGTGAGCTGAGATTGCGCCACTGCACTCTAGCCTGGGTGACAGAGTGAGACTGTCTCAAAAAAAAAAAAAAAAAGACAACACGTTTCAAAAGTGTACAGCTTGATGAATTAATTCCAAATGGACACATCAGTTATGCTGCAACCAGATTTAAAAGAAAAAAAAGAAAATATTCCCAGCCTCTCAGAAGCCCATTCCCATCCCTCATCCCAGGAGCCCTCATTCCCATTCCCCCCATCCCCAAGATAACTTCTTACTTCTCAAATGTGACCATCGGAATTTAACTGCCAACTCTGAATTCCAAAGGCATACTTAGAAGATGCCTTTGTCGAGCCAACAGAGGATCGCTCATATGCATCATGCTCTTTCCCCTTAGTAAAAAAGGTAAAATAAAACTCACAACTCTGGACTGGGCGCGGTGGCTCAGGCCTGTAATCCCAGCACTTTGGGAGGCCGAGGCGGGCGGATCACGAGGTCAGGAGATCGAGACCATCCTGGCTAACACGGTGAAACCCCATGTCTACTAAGAAATACAAAAATACCTAGCTGGGCGAGGTGGCAGGTGCCTGTGGTCCCAGCTACTCGGGAGGCTGAGGCAGGCGAATGGCGTAAACCCGGGAGGCGGAGCTTACAGTGAGCCCAGATCCGGCCACTGCACTCCAGCCTGGGCAACAGAGCGAGACTCCGCCTCAAAAACAAAACAAAACAAAAACCCACAACTCTATATTCTCTGCATTTAAACAGAGTGAGGGTTTTGTCTTATTTAAATTAACAGCAGATGTGCAAACACACAAGCACAAAGCCAGAGGGGACATTGGGACGACCCGCTGGACGCATCAAGGCAGCTAGGTCACCGGGAACAGATCAACGTGGTCCCCCCAGGGGCTGTCAGCAGTGTCATTGGTCAGTGGGGAACATTTCAGCCACAGCTTTGAAAGATAAATTGGCCGGGCACGATGGCTCACGCCTGTAATTCCAGCACTTTGGGAGGCCGAGGTGGGCGGATCACCTAAGGTCAGGAGTTCGAGACCAGCCTGACCAACACAGAAAAACCCCGTCTCCACTAAAAATACAAAAATTAGCTGGGTGTGGTGGTGGGCGCCTGTAATCCCAGCTACTCAGGAGGCTGAGGCCAGAGAATTGTTTGAACCCGGGAGGCAGAGATCACGCCATTGCACTCCAGCGTGGGCAACAGGAGTGAAACTCTGTCTCAAAAAAAAAAAATATATATATATATATATACACACACACACACACACACACACACAAAGAAAGAGAAATAAATCAAAGTGTCCCAGACAATTGGGGATGGATGAGATTTATTGTTTTATTTGTGTATTTATTTATTTATTGGGAGGCAGTCTTGCTGTGTCACCCAGGCTGGAGTGCAGTGGCACGAGCTCGGCTCACTACAACCTCTGCCTCCTGGGTTCAAGTGATTCTCCTGCCTCAGCCTGAGTAGCTGGGATTACAGGAGTGTGCTACCAAGCCTGGCTAATTTTTCTAGTTTTAGTAGAGATGCAGTTTCACCATGTTGGTCAGGCTGGTCTCGAACTCCTGACCTCGTGATCTGCCCGCCTCGGCCTCCCAAAGTGCTGGGATTACTGGCGTGAGCCACCGTGCCCGGCCGAGTTTCAGTTATTTTAACTGCATGTGATATCAACCCCAGATTGCAGCAGATAGATTCCAAGATGGTGCCCAACGACTCCTGCCACCCAGTGGTCTTTGTGGATGTAGTCTCCTTCCTATTGAATCAGGTTTGGCTTATGGGATCAAAGGAATGTAACAGAAGTGACAGTAAAAGAAATCTGAGACTAGGTCACGAAAGGCATTGCAACTTCCACCATAGATAACTTGCTTTGGGGGGAGGCTGGCTGCCATGTTGCGAGGACACTCAAGCAGCTCTGTGGAGAGGAACCGTCTTGCCAGCTCCAACAGGCCAGCCATGTGAACAAGCCCAGCTGGCAAATCATCCAGCCTCAGTCAAGCTTTCAGATAACCACAGCCCCAGTTGATATCTGTCTCTAACCACATGAAACACCAAACTCTGGACTCGCAGAAATCATGATATAATAAACAATGATTGTTTTGAGTTTGGAGATGATTTTTTTAAATTTAATTCAGATGAAATAAAAAATAATAAATCATTATTGTTATATGCTTCTTTACTAACATTAAATAACAAGAGCTAGCAGATCTGGCCAGGTGCAGTGGCTTATGCCTATAATCCCAGCACTTTAGTAGGCCCAGGTAGGAGGATCGCTTGAGCCCAGGAGTTTAATTAACCTGGGCAACATAGGGAGACAATGTCTCTATTTTTAAAACAAAATCAGGTTGGGTGCAGTGGCTCACACCTGTAATCCCAGCACATTGGGAGGCCGAAGCAGGCGGATCACAAGGTAAGGAGTTCGAGACCAACCTGGCCAACATGGTGAAACCCCTTCTCTACTAAAAATACAAAAATTAGCTGGGTGTGGTGGTGCGTGGCTGTAATCCCAGCTACTCAGGAGGCTGAGGCAGGAGAATCACTTGAACCTGGGAGCCAGAGGTTGCAGTGAGCCGAGATCACACTATTGCACTCCAGCCTGGGCAATAGAGTGAGACTTCATCTCAAAAAAAAAAAAATCTAGCAGATCTAATAGCAAGTATAATAACTGATATTTCTTTTTCTTTTCTTTTCTTTTCTTTTCTTTTCTTTGAGATGGAGTTTTGCTCTTGTTGCCCAGGCTGAAGTGCAAAGGTGCGATCTTGGTTCACTGCAACCTCTGCCTCCCAGGTTCAAGGAATTCTCCTACCTCAGCCTCCCGAGTAGCTGGGATTACAGGCACGTGCCACCATGTCTGGCTAATTTTGTATTTTTAGTAGGGACAGGGTTTATCCATGTTGGTCAGGCTGGTCTCGAACTCCTGACCTCAGGCGATTCACCTGCCTTGGCCACCCAAAGTTCTGAGATTACAGGCGTGAGCCACTGCGCCCAACCTATAACTGATATTTCAAAACAGTGAGGAAGCAAAAGAATATTTCAAGAATTTGCAACAACCATGATGTGATTTGGAAATATCTGTGATTTATGTTGCTAGAATAATAAATTCCAGAATAAACAAAATCATAAGTCTTGTTAATGTTACCTATATTCATAATTGTATAAGTTATCTATTGCTGTGTAACCACTGCAAAACTTAATTGCTTAAGACAATGGTAATTATTTATTTTGTTTGTAGGTCTTCAATTTGGGTGGAGTTCAGAAGAAGCAGCTCATCTCTGATCAATGAGGCAACAACTGAGGCAGCTCCTCTGGGAGCTTTCTGATTTTATTTTTATTTTTCTATTTATATCTTCAGTGCCTCTAATAAGAAACTGCTTTCAAGATAGCTCACATGGCTGGCAAGTTAGTGCTGACTGTTGGCTAGCAACTTAGTGGGGACTAAGGGCTGGGGACATCATTTTCTCTCTTTGTGGGCTTTCTCGTGGACTCTTGAGCTTCCTCACAGCATGGAGGCTGAGTTCTAAGAATTGATGCTAGCTGTTGGCTGGCAGCTCAGAGGGAATTAAGGGCTGGGGATTTCATTTCCTCTCCATGTGGGCTTCCTCAGACTCTTGGGCTTCCTCACATCATGAAAGCTGAATTGTAAGAGTGTTTGTTTTAAGAAAACAAGGCATGGCATTTTTACAACCTGGCCTCAGAAGTCACATAGAAGCACTACTGTTGAATCCTTGTTAGTTGAGGTAGTCCCTTCAGGTTCAAGGTGTAGAGACATAGTTTTCACTTCCCAATGGGGAAGTGGCAATATCTGGAAAAGCATATAGTATGGGAAATATTATTGAGGCTATCTTTGGAAAATACAATCTGCCATGAAAATAGGAAGAAATACTAGATATCAGTTAGAGCTTAGTGAAAATAAAAATGTGATTTTTCTTCTTATCTAAGGCCATAGACCCCATGAATTATATCTACAAGCCTTTTAAGGGTCCCTGGACCCCAGGCCAAGAACCTTTCGGGTGGGTTCAGTCATGAGAACTTCTGGAAGGATGGAGGAGGTGCTATCTTTCAAAAACAGCGCTAGAGTATTCATTCATTTGTTCAACAGATATTTATTGAGCTAGCTTCCAGATCTTACAACTACAATCAAGACCAAGGTAGTCCCTGCTTGCCTGACACCAGCAGTGTAGTGGGAGTAGATATTTATAATTGCACTACTTAATTATATTACTCAATATAATATGCTAACAAAATAAGATGCTCTGAAATAAAGAAGCCAAGTTCTTTGAGAGCATATAGTAAAGGAAATAATCTAGATTGTGGTGCCAAGGAAGTAATCTCTTAAAAAAGGGACTGGTAAGCCAGGCTTGCTGGTGGATGCCTGTAGTCCCAGCTACTTGGGAGGCTGAGGTCGGAGGATTGCTTGAGCTCAGGGTTTCAAGGGTATAGTGTGCTATGATTATTCTGTGAATAGCTGCTGCATTCCAGCCTGGGCAACATAGCGAGACTCCTGCCCCTGAAAAAAAAGAAAAAGATTAACTGCTGTGCTTGGGTATGGATGTTCACCTCACTCCAAAACCTCCCATGGCTCACCACTGCCCAGAGAATACAATCCAAGCAACTGACCTGGCATTCAAGATATTTTATGAACAGGCCTAACTTAAAATGCAAAGCCTCCTTATTGATACCCAACATCAATTATCCACCCCTCCTCCTCTTCTCTCTCCTTCCTCCTTCCTTTTCCTTTTCTTTTTGTTTCTTTTTTTTTGAAACAGGGTCTCACTCTGTCACTCAGGCTGGAGTGCAGTGGTGCGATCTCAGCTCACTGCAACCTCCACCACCAGGGTTCAAGCAATTCTCCTGCCTCAGCCTCCCCACATAGCTGGGACTATGGGTGCGCACCACCACACCCAGCTAATTTTTGTATTTTTTTGGTAGAGACGGAGTTCTGACCTGTTGGTCAGGCTGGTCTTGAAATTCTGACATCAGGTGATCCACTCAACTCGGCCTCCCAAAGTGCTGGGATTACAGGCATGAGCCACCACGCCTGGCCACCTATCTGAATTTTAAACTGACAATTTAAAATATATGGCGGCCGGGGCCAGGCACAGGGGCTTACACCTGTAATCCCAGCACTTTGGGAGGCCAAGGCAGGTGGATCACGAGGTCAGGAGATCAAGACCAGTCTAATCAACATGGTGGAACCCCGCCTCTACGAAAAATACAAGAATTAACCGGACTTGGTGGAGCGTCCCTGTAATCCCAGCTACTCGGGAGGCTGAGGTAGGAGAATCGCTTGAACCCGGGAGGCGGAGCTTGCAGCAAGCGGAGATCCACCACGGCACTCCAGCCCAGGCGACAGAGCCAGACTCCATCTCAAAAAAAAAAAAAAAAAAAACAAAAAACCGGGCGCGTTGGCTCATGCCTATAATCCCAGCACTTTGGGAGGCCCAGGAGGGTGGATCATGAGGTCAGGAGATTGAGACCATCCTGGCGAACACGGTGAAACCCCATCTCTACTGAAAATACAAAAAAATTAGCCCGGCGTGGTGGCGGGTGCCTGTAGTCCCAGCTTCTAGGGAGGCTGAGGCAGGAGAATGGCGTTAACCCGGGAGGCGGCAGAGCTTGCAGTGAGCGGAGATCGCGCCACTGCACTCCAGCCTGGGCGACAGAGTGAGACTCCGTCTCAAAAAATAAAATAAAAATAAATAAATAAATAAATAAATAAATAATAAATATGAACAAAATAAAAATATAAGCATACTCAGTATGTATGAATATATTTTTCTTTTCAAAAAATTTGAGGCCAGGCACAATGGTTCACGCCCGCAATCCCAACACTTTGGGGGGCTGAGGGGGGCAGATGGCTTGAGGTCAGGAGTTTGAGACCAGACTGACCAACATGGGGAAACACTATCTCCACTAAAAATTCAAAAAAAATTCAAACACTATCTCTACTAAAAATTCAAAAAAAAAAAATTGGCACATGCCTATAGTCTCAGCTACTCAGGAGGCTGAGGCAGGAGAATCACCTGAACCTGGGAGGCAGAGGATGCAGTGCATGAAGATCATGCCACTGCAATCCAGCCTGGGTGACCGAGAGAGACTCCATTTCAAACAACGACAAAAATATTGAATGATACAAACCTCACATTTCATGTGCACCCTCAGTTTCATTACTATACTCTCCTTGCACACCTTTTTCTGGGCATGTGTGTGTGCATCAAAAAGCATCTTTGGGGCCAGGTGCAGTGGCTCACACCTGCAGTCCCAGCACTTTGGGAAGCAGAGGCAGGTGGATCACCTGAGGTCAGGAGCTCAGGACCAGCCCGGCCAATATGGTGAAACCTTATCTCTACTGAAATACAAAAATTAGCAGGGCGTGGTGGTGCACGCCTGTAGTCCCAGCAACTTAGGAAGCTGAGTCAGGAGAATTGCTTGAACCCAGGGAGCAGAGGTTGCAGTGAGCCAAGATTGTGCTACTACACTCCAGCCTGGGCGACAGAGCAAGAGTCAGTCACACACAGAAAAAAGGAGCTCTGGTGGGAGGCTGAGGGGGGTGCGGATCACGAGGTCAGGAGTTCGAGACCAGCCTGGCAGACATGGTGAAACCCTGTTTCTAATAAAAATACAAAAATTAGCTGGGCATGGTGGTGGGTGCCTGTAATCCCGTCTACTAGGGAGGCTGAGGCAGGAGAACCGCTTGAAACCAGAAGGCGGAGGTTGCAGTGAGCCAAGATTGCACCACTGTACTCCAGCCTGGGCAAAAGAGCAAAACTCCATCTCAAAAAAAAAAAAGGAAAAAAAAAGGCAGCTTTGGATTGTTGTTGCTTTCTGTTTTTTTTCTTATTTTTAGAGATGGGAATGGGATCTTCCTTTGTTGCCTAGGCAGGAGTGCAGTGACACGATCATAGCTCACTGCCACCACAAATTCCTGGGCTCAAGGGATCCTCCTGCCTCAGTCTCCTGAGTAGCTGGAACTACAAGAAAGGTTCCCATGCCCGGCTTGTTTTCTTCTTATGTAAATTGTATCACACTATTCTCATTGTTCTGTGACTTGATTTTTTTCACTTCACATTATATCTTGCAGCTCTTGGAGCTTTCTCTTCCCAGGCCATCGTGTTCTCCCTCTTTTTTTTTTTTTTTTTTTTTTTTTTTGAGATGGAGTCTCACTCTGTTGCCCAGGCTGGAGTGTAGTGGAGTGATCTCGGCTCACTGCAACCTCCACCTCCTGGGTTCAAGCAATTCTCCCACCTCAACCTCCCTAGTAGCTGGGATTACATGCATGCATCACCACACCCGGCTAATTTTTGTATTTTTAGTAGAGACAGGGTTTCACCATGTTGGCCAGGCTGGTCTCGAACTCCTGACCGCAAGTGATCCACCTGCCTTAGCCTTCCAAAGTGCTGGGATTACAGGTGTGAGCCACCACACTCAGCTTTTTTTTTTTTTTAGAGACAGGGTATCACACCGTCACCCAGGCTGGAGTGCAGTGGTTCGATCATGGCTCACTGCAGCCTCCAACTCCTGGGTTCAAGTGATCCTCCTGCCTCAGCTTCCTGAGTAGCTGGGACTACAGGTGTACACCACCATGACCAGATTATTATTTTTTTTTTTTTGAGACGGAGTCTCACGCTGTTGCCCAGGCTGGAGTGCAGTGGCGCGATCTCGGCTCACTGCAAGCTCCGCCTCCTGGGTTCACGCCATTCTCCTGCCTCAGCCTCCTGAGTAGCTAGGACTACAGGCGCCCGCCACCGCGCCCGGCTAATTTTTTGTATTTTTAGTAGAGACGGGGTTTCACTGTGGTCTCGATCTCCTGACCTTGTGATCCGCCAGCCTCGGCCTCCCAAAGTGCTGGGATTACAGGCTTGAGCCACCGCGCCCGGCCCAGATTATTTTTTAATGTTTATTTTTGTAGAGCCAGGGCCTTACTATGTTGCCCAGGCTCGTCTCAAACTCTCAAACTTTGCACCAAAGTGCAAAGTGCTGTGATCACAGGAATGAGCCATCATGCCTGGCCTCAAACTGTACCCTTAAGATCCCTGCTTGCTGGCGGAGCGTGGTGGCTCACGCCTGTAATCCCAGCACTTTGGGAGGCTGAGGAGGGTGGATCACTTGATGTCAGGAGTTCGAGACCAGCCTGACCAATGCAGTGAAACCCCGTCTCTACTAAAAAATACAAAAAAAAAAAAAAAAAATAGCCAGGCGTGGTGGTGCATGCCTATAATCCCAGCTATTTGGGAGACTGAGGCAGGAGAATCACTTGAACCTGGGAGGCAGAGGTCGCAGTGAGTCAAGACTGCACCACTGCGCTCCAGCCTGGGCAGCAGAGCGAGACTCCATCTCAAAAAAAATAAATAAATAAAAAATAAATCTCTGCTTATTATTGTTTTAAATTATACCTCCATTAAAAGTGAAATAGGCCAGGCTGTGGTGGCCCACACCTATAATCCCAGCACTTTGGGAGGCCAAGGCAGGCAGATCACTTGAGGTCAGGAGTTTGAGGCCAGCCTGACCAACATGGTGAAACCCCGCCTCTCCTAAAAATCCACAAATTAGCCGGGCGTGGTGGCACACGCCTGTAATCCCAGTTACTCAGGAGGCTGAGGCAGGAGAATCTCTTGAGCCCAGGAGGCGGTGGCTGCAGTGAGCCGATATCGCGCCACTGCACTCTGGGCAACAAAGAGAGACTCTGTCTTAAAAAAAAAAAAACAAAAAACAAAATAGGCCCGGGCGCGGTGGTTCAAGCCTATAATCCCAGCACTTTGGGAGGCTGAGGTGGGAGGATCATGAGGTCAGGAACTCGAGACCATCCTGGCTAACATGGTGAAACCCTGTCTCTACTAAAAATACAAAAAACTAGCCGGGCGAGGTGGCAGGCGCCTGTAGTCCCAGCTACTTGGGAGGCTGAGGCAGGAGAATGGTGTGAACCCGGGAGGCGGAGCTTGCAGTGAGCTGAGATCCGGCCACTGCACTCCAGCCTGGGTGACGACAGAGTGAGACTCCGTCTTAAAAAAAAAAAAAAAGTGAAATAAATGCTGTTTTGGCAGATATGGGAAAAGAAAAAATTTAAAAAGTAAAAACAACAAAAAAAAGTGAAATAAAATACCATTATTGATATTGCTGTCCCTTCAGCTTCTTTCTTTTCTTTTTTTTTTTTTTTTTTGAGACGGAGTCTCGCTCTGTCGCCCAGGCTAGAGTGCAGTGGCTGGATCTCAGCTAAATGCAAGCTCCGCCTCCCGGGTTTACACCATTCTCCTGCCTCAGCCTCCTGAGTAGCTGGGACTACAGGCGCCTGGCACCTCGCCTGGCTAGTTTTTTGTATTTTTTTTTTTTTTTTAGTAGAGATGGAGTTTCACTGTGTTAGCCAGGATGGTCTCGATCTCCTGACCTCGTGATCCGTCTGTCTCGGCCTCCCAAAGTGCTGGGATTACAGGCTTGAGCCACCGCGCCCGGCCCAGCTTCTTTCTTTTCGTCCACCCAACCAGCCTGCTGGAATGGGGGCTTGTTTTGTTT